GAAAGCCGTAAACCGCGTAGTAATCTAGTATCACCGTTTCCCGCAACCGAGCAATATCTTTGTAACCATAAACCACTACAAAAATGAATACAATACCCTATAACCGACCTCTAAAATCAGCAGGAAACCCTTAGAAACCGCCAATCTCAAGTGAGTTAAGGCCTGGGTCAGCATATGCAAATTAGATAAAAGTGGTTTAATTTTATATCTCAGTTAATTCTCAAACGATTTCGATAAAACTTTGCAGGTTTGTAGTTTTGAACGACTTTAACATTTTAAGACTGTTAAAATCTCTATCGGCAGGTCACATGACATGTCATGTGACATTTCCATGGAAAGAAATTCAATTGAAAATGGGGTAACCAGAACATACATTGAAAATGTCGGTTTTAGGTTAATATTATCTCTTAGTAGGTTGTCCTCAAGTCTTGTCCTAGAATGGTTGTCCATCACTTGCCGTTAAGGAGATATTTGGTGAAATAGGTCACGTGACCTAAATTCACTTCTGAAAATCTGCTGTTTTCTCCTTATTTTATTTAGAAAGTCATCCATTCTAGGACAGGTCTTGTTGGTTTAGGTCTACTAAATACTTTGAAATCAAAAAACTCTCATTAAAGTACATTCTCATTACCCCATTTTGAAATTACTGTTTTTTCGTCTTTTGGGTCACGTGACCTCCATATTTGGACAAAACATATTTAAAAATTCCAAGGATCATGATTCTCTTCATGACACCAAAGCTTATTCCTCTACAGTAAATGTTAGTTAAAATATAACGTTTTTAAGTTTTTTGATATCGCCTAAAATTCCAGGCCTTAACTCACTTGAGAATGAATAATAGGTCCACAGCGAACACTTGTACATTCTTGTTTTCTGAACAATAAGAAAATATCTGTTGACGCAATGAGAGCTCGAAAGAAATACTAGCCTACAAAATATACTAATTGAAAAAAAAATTCTATTCCAAATCAATTTCCTTGTTACCAGTACCCCCCCGGGGTAGGGTACTCCCCTATATTCGCTATACGGGGACGTGCCGCCAACCAGGGTATCGTTTTCAGCGATTTTACTCTGGAACTGGCTATCGGTTTTAGCGATTTTACTCTGGAAAAGGCTATCGATTTCAACGAATTTTCTCTGGAACAGGGTCAGGGTTTAATTCCGGAATTATTGATGCTGGGTAAAAATTCACGGGGTAAAAATTCGGTCTACACGCAGGCTAGTGCTGGATTTTCTCTGTAACAGGATATCGTTTTCAGCGATTTTACTCTGGAACAGGGTATTGTTTTCAGCGATTTCACTCTGGAACAGGATCAGGGTTTTGATGTCCCAGCGGCACAGTCCCCACCCAAGTTTGGGGGGAGTACCCCACATGACAGGAGGAAACTGACCCACCTCGTAGGAGCGTGGCAAAATAAGAGTATAATTGGGTACGAGCCTAGAGAGCAACTAATTTCCGATGAGAAGGTTAGGTATACAGTAAAAACCCGCGTATAAGAACCTAGGTTTTTTCAGGTTAGCCTCAACAGGTTCTTATATAAATGATATTTGTGTAAAATTAGGTTAACTCAGGGTTCTTAATTAGGTTCTTAGCTTCTGTAACAAAATATACTACACTACTGTTAAAATCAAAACCTATTCTGTAACCTTCCTAATAAATTTTGTGTACAAAACAACATAACATGATAAAGTTTCTCTTTAAAAATGTTCACTGACAGGTTTTATGTAACTATGTTCTAACTACTATAATCAGTGTGTACATGGGGTGTGTTGTACCTGTTATACATGTAAATATATATTTTTGAGAATATTTTTTTCTATATTTTGAGAAGATTATTTTTTCCTTTTTTTCAAATTTCTAAATAAGAACTTGTTTTAGAATTTTAGCATAGTTAATGGTTCTTATGTGAAGGGTGTTTAAAAATGAAATTTTAGCCTAACAGGTTCTTAAATGTTAGGTTCTTATACGCGGGGTTTTTACTTGTTTACTGTAGTCCAAAGATCTTCAGTCTTCAAAATATAGTTTGCGCGAAGTTCAAATGCGATGAAAAGAGCAAGGGAACACATTTTAATAGCCTCCTTTGCAGACACTATCAGTATCGGTCATAAGTTAAGAGGAAACTTATAACCGATACTAATAACGTCTGCAACGGAGGCTAACACTTAAACCACTTGAATCGCAATGTGACTGGTGGTGGACACCAATCCCATCTCCACTGCATCCAAAAAATGTATTGCACACTCTTTAGGTACTGCGCAATATTTATCAGGAAGAGGGTTGAGAATCCAAGGGAGGGGGGGGGGGGGGGGGTGACAAAATCTAATTTATGTGCTTAAAGAGGGGAGCAACGTCTTACATAAATTAACTAGAACTTCAGATTTTGTGCCTTTGACCAGATATTTACCGAAGTGGAAAACTTCTCAAGAAAAGCATGACACGATTTATTCTTTATTCACTCTGCATGCTTGCGGGTCTACGCACGAAAAGTAGTACGCGAAAATCACGGTCTTGGGCAGGCTGCTTGAATACAACAGCGCAACATTTTTTTGTAAAAGTTGTAGATAATGACCTCCTCTGTTGTGTAAAATCTTTATTGAAAATTGATTATGCAAATGTAACTTTATAACCACTTAACCTGTGACGTAACGAGTTGCACTCTGGRAGTGTTTGCATTTCAATTAATTCATTTTGTCTTCACGATTCAAGAGACATGAGTACCAATCAAAAAGTTGAATGCTTGGTAAGTTTATATAAACTCCTTTCAATGTGTTTCCTTACAATTTTGTTTCAATAACATTTTATGTTCTTRCAACCAACTTAAATCTGTGTCACTGCATGACGCTGTGTCCGAATGTGTGATGTCCAATTGCCAGACACAAAGCACGATCGACATGTTACATTCTCCAAAGTCCCAATAATAACACATGCATCTAGAGCTACCTTTTCAGTTACAATTAAGAACCTTGCAGTCTCAAGCAGTTTTTCGTAAATTTTCTAACATAACRGGGTTTCTGTTTGTGTATATAAAACAGTTTGTTTACACCTGATTAATTATCACTGTACGGCGAAGTAATCTCTTAAACAATAATGTGTTGACAAGAATGTTATACTATGAYAGAAAAACATACACTTCTGCTCTAACATTTCCAGATGTAATTACTGAAGTATATTGATAATTTAGTCATCGAGGTCATGTAATTAAAACGATTTACATCTCACGAATATGAAATGATCTAATCTCCATGACAACGAAAGTACAGATCCCTTTTCACTGTTTGGTTTTATCTGTTTGATTTAATGATAAATGTCGTAAAMCCATCCTTTATCTGCAGACTACTGACAGACCTCGGACTACGCAGTCACAGCAGTGTCGTCCTTATAGCTCTCAATCAAGTTCCCATGGCAACATGAAAGATGAGAAGTGTATGTCATCACGTGGAAGTGACAGGAATATGCCATTACAGAAACAAATGGTRGATCCATATGTTGAAACTTTGACTAAAAAYACACGTGGCAGAATAAAACCAAGATTTTCGGTAAGTTGCAATGCATGTAAATTGGCTTGATTTAGATCTGTTCACTTTTGCCTTTAGGCCGACTGTTAAGGGTATCRAATTGTAAAATCCAAGCCTCACCGAGCCTGCAAGCCCCTCGTTTTAATATCCGAGCCCAAGGTTTTGGCTGAACTAGTTCTATATTTCAGCAATTGCRAGTTTCCGACCCGGGGGGGTACTCCCCTATATTCGCTGTATGGGGACGCTCGCCCAAGCAGGGTATCGTTTTCAGCGATTCTACTCTGGAACAGGGTATAGTTTTCAATGATTTTACTCTGGAACAGTGTCAGGGTTTTGAGGTCCCACCGGCACACCCCCCACCCAAGTTTGGAGGGAGTACCTCCCAGGGCTTCTGAGCCAAAAACAATTTTAAATTYGAGTCCCATTCTTTTAAGCTCGAGCTTGCGAGACTTGGGAATTTTTTGGCGAGGCCCGCGATTTCTGAGACATCATTCTATACCCCTACTGTAACAGGCAGAGATGAGAGATATCACCACAACACTGAGTGGTGCAAGGGATCATGGGTGGCTAAGTCTCCTRCCACTATAGAATCGAGCATATTTGTAATACCTTTTGCTTATTATTAAGGTTTGGCCATCCTCATATTGGCTGCATAAAGTTAGTAAGATTTTTCTTTAGTTGTGGAATGGAATGCTGCGAGGAGTCTTTGTGCATCCTTTGATTTTGGAATTTCATAGGGGTAAGGGGTATGGATATCAGTTRCAAGTGATAATTCTAGGGGGTAGTATTTGTAAGCACCAGAACAAGAACTTCTAGGAAAAGAGTGTTGCACAAAAAAATCCTCCATGGGGGTATGGATATTCAATGGGACTACACAGTCAACTACACAATAGAGCTTAGTAGTGAAATAGATATACACAAATACACCTTAGAGTGAATGCACTTAATCCGTGCAACTATATAAAATCTAAGTAGTACTAATTTGTACTAAAAGTGGTCCTGAAGCAAGACGGTATAGAATGCTTCATTTGTATCAATTCAATTTGCATACCGTATGCACGATTTAATAAATACAACTAAACAGCACTATTTAGTTTGTACAGTTGCACGGATTAAGTGTGATCACTCTAGTATGCTCTAATTACATTGTTTTCTTTTGTCTATTTCACTTTCAATGTGCTATTGTAGTCAACAGATTACTTAATGCAATGGTAGCTTGGAATATGGCATCTAAAGAAAAGGTTAAAACAGAACAGAAAGAATCAGAGAAACAGATGAACACTGAACATCGAACATGAACACTGAACATTTTGTCAACACTGGAATTGGCACTTTGAAGGAAACTTCTAAAAAACAATAACTGATGTTCTAAGACCCTTAAGTGATAGTTCATTAATATACAAATTGTAACAAAACATTTTCTTTGAGTATTTTCTATCAACTCTACTGTACATGTCATTGAGAACAATTGAAAACAACCAACATACATGCAACATAACATTTATCTAGCTTTTTATGATAAACAGTTTTACAAATCATTTTAAGTTAGCATCACTGCAGCTTTTAAACTTTTATGCAATTGGTTTCCTAGTTGTTTTGATTATATTTTTGCACAACTTTTACTTTATAGCAACAATTATCATACAAATTATTTACTACAAACCATGTGAGCTCAACGATTYCCTTTCAAACAGTCCTGCTTTCAGTCAACTCTGTAGCAAACAAATAACTGTTTTATCATCCTGAATTCACATGATTTTGGAAATTGCAATAAAAATACTTTTTTTTTGTTTTTCATTGATTTCTTACATTGAGACCCAAAGAAAAAATAATTATTCCGACTGCATGAACCATTTTAAATGGATCTCCAGCACTATAATTCCATAAAAATTGACAAGTTTAACTCTTAGAAAGTCTTAACATTAAACTATTATTTTCATTAAAAAAAACGTCTTGCTGTAAACATCAACTATAACTTGTTTCCATTGGTAATGTTTTTGGAGTTTTTCCTATTACTGTATAACTAATTATAACTACTTAAGATATTAATTATTTCACATAAATCAACTTTCGGTTAGATATCATATATATTTGTAATTTTGGTGCATCTGGCACAACAGTAAACAATCCATAAAGAGAAATTAGTTTGCACCTATTTTGTGCTTAATTTCATGTTTCATGGATTAAGTGCATGCGCCATATCCTAAAAGAAAACAATTCTATGGAGTCTAACAACTAAAACTGGTGTGTATAATCAATGCTTTCTTGGTTGTTGGATATGTATATTCCCTCCTTTKCCTCCAGCATGTGGTGGTGGCCTCTTGTCATGCTGGGGCATAGGCTTCTCRTGAGCTACTCTGGCAGCTTCTGGTGGRAAATCTGCATTGCCTTTAGCTACTGCTCCTGATACTACTAACTTTGTTGTGTCTCTGAAATTCAATAAAGTCAAAATTGTTAGGAAACATTTCAAACTACATTGATCATTTACAAGGTAAAATAATCCCACTTGTCATAATGACACAGATGAGAATGCTAGTTGCTATGGATATGAAGTTMAACAAAGCATTCTTTGCCATAAATGCAAATATTAAAGTACCTAATGCTAATTTTCACAAGAGAAATTACTGGATAGTTAGGATTAGCAATCATACATGTAGGGTTATTCAAATTTTGATTTTTTTATTTCAATATTTCAGATATTATTCCGGCACTGCAGTCCACTCAGAGAGCAGTCCRAGTATCTTGGTGATTCCAAATTTTCCAAAAACTTATAAATTGATTGCATTTATAACAAGACAAAGAATTARAGCGTTTCAGCTTAAATTTAGCCGTGGTTTGATGTATTTTTTCCATTAACACATCCTAATTTTATAAGCTTATAAAATGAAATAAAAGATTTACGATATTTTTACTGTAAACCTTACAGGACTAGCTCTCAACCAAGATGTGTTGTCTCTGTATGAGACTAAGAATTTGAGATTTCTGATCAATATGAGCAACTTCGAAGCACTTCAGATTTATATTCGAGAAAATTATGAATCAAATACCAAATGAATGAACGCCCAGTCCACGTGCTCAACAGTAAACAACAATTCGCGTTTGTACAATTTTGCAAACCGACCTTTCTTTGGGTTCTTCAAATTCTTCATTCTCAGCCTTCTCTTCTGGTGTTGGAGCAGGAGGTGGAGGTTGATGATGATGCTTGGTGGGAATTCGCTTTCCTCCAGCTTTYACTGCGRGAAGAATTGTWCAACATTTTGGAAGCTAAATAATTAAGCTTGAATACTATTTGTTTTGTCGACGCTCAAAAACAAAAATTGAAGTAATATCTTCACACTTACCGGCGGGAGGATGACCAGCTTTGAGTTCAGGTTCTTCRGAAGGACTTGACATTATGATAAAGAGCTATGAAATGGTCGTAAAATAAAATTTTTAGCATTAAAGATGACCCTTTTCCCAATGTTAAAACAGCTGAACTCGGAAGCACCAAGATAACATATTCGGTGCTCTGTGATTGGAGGACTCAATCAGCTGATTTAATTTCTAAAGTTTGATTGGTCAGTTATTTTTCCAACAAATCTTATTTTACTCCAATTTCACAGATTTATTTATTTATTTATTTATTTTTTTTAATCATTACAAATGCCAGTATTTTCGTTAGTTTGGTATCTATTATATTGAAATCAAATGTTAATTTACTCAATATCGAAAGGCAATTTTCTGCAATTTTCTCAAAAGCATTTCTGACTTGCGGTTATCCTGTGCTTTAGTCCCACTCTCTTTTCATTGYTAGGAACGCCTGCTTGTTTTGGCGAGGCAATGGCCACCAGAAGTTGTCTAGAAATGCTCTTTGTTCAATTTTACCAGTCTACTAGTACTTTTAAAACCAAAAAAACATCGTCTTTATAATTCTCAATGAACATGCTGGCCTTCAGAGTTTTTTKCTTACTTTTACTCGCCACAGGGACAAAATGCAAGAGCTCTTCGGCCGCGCTCAAGCTACTTGAAAAGGAAGCCAAGACCGCAAWGTGCAAGTCTACTAACTTCGATAGRTTAATGATTTCAAGAGCTRAAGGTTCCGACAAAAAACTTTTATCATGTCTTATTAAGTCKCTGGATCAAACTAAAAATGAYGGCTTCTTGTGGAGTTTATTGGGTGAAGTGTTTGCAAGGAKAGGCGAAAGATTGAAAGCAAATGTTTGCTACAAGGAATCAATYAGAYTRATGGGWAAAGTTTCTAAGTACRTCAAAAAATGGCATTACATTGGTCCTTTTACCATCGGAAAGAATGAGATCGATGGKGATCCACTTCAAGATTGGAAKGGGATTCAAAATGTTTCCAGACATCGCTGGGATAAGAAAAGAAATACATTTTATTCCGAAGTAACCAAAGGAGGAGAAATTCAATGGAAAGTCATTAACATGAATACTGCTAGCGAACCTATAAATATTCCTTCAAATGCTGATTGGARTGATTTGATAATGAGTTTGCAATCATTAGGTATTGCCGAGTGGCAGGGATGGATTGTGGGTGATTTTGTACTAAATGAAGACAGTGCCATTCTAGTTCAGTGTTTAGGTGCCAGTACTGTGTATATCAATGATACTCTAATYACTGGTGATCTTTACAAGAGAAGGGAATTCTGGTAAGCCAGCTTTTATATAATTTGATCTTTTTAAATGAAAAATCTCTTGTTCACTTAATCTTAGGRAGCCYTTTTTGTGCGAAATTGAATTTCAGCCTCCAATCATACAGTTYAATATCCAGAGAAAATATTGATAGATCAAGTTCCATTCTGATATTTCTTGTTAACTTTCTCATATACTGGTAAATAGTATTTTGACAGTCTCATAGTTGGATGCTTGGGCAATTATGAGCATTTATGTTCTGCTGCTCATAAGCACAGAAGTCAGGGCAAAAAGAGTACAACATAGTAAAAAAAAAAAAAAATTGAGTGTCTCATCAGGTTCTCAATGCAAGAAAACATTTTCAAAGAGAAGGCTGTATGAGTTTACAGTATACAGGGAAATTATACAAAATCCTGAGAATAGTACATGATCAGTTTTGTTCACTTTAGATAAATTATCATTTAGATTGGACTTACTTTGTTGAATCATGATGTTTTGGATACTTGTTGATCTCAAATTCTCTAGAGTTATAAATACCATCAATCAAATGGGATGTCCAATACAAATAATGAAAAAAGCAAAATTCTTATWTRTTTTGATCCTCCTCTGYAGGCATCCTGTRCATCTTAAAAGAGGTATCCACTCAGTCATKATCAAGCTGCGCTCAAAAGCAACACTAGCTCTTCACTTTCATCTCAGTCAAGCTCAAGAGAAAGYTACCGTCAATGTACTAAATCCRCCATTTCTTCCTGATCTTGTTAATGGRAAAYTGTTTAGCARTCTTATCTCCYTWCCAGTGCAAAACCTTCATCACAGCAACTGGCTTAAAATTATAAAGGTGTCCATAAGAAGTAAAGATTCAATTTTTAAARCATCTTTATTTGGTGAACTCAACAAGCTCTCAATAGCACCAGGTCAAATTAAACCTATTATTATTAAAATTGATTACAAAAATGCTAAACTGAGAAATGAAGGCAGTGAAGAAGATTGCAAAGATACAGAGTTAAATTTAAAGTTATCCTTTAAAGGGAAAGATGAGAAAGTTAACTTGGTTTTAAGGTGCAGAAAGCTGTCAGAATCATTTTTGTTCACCTTTTTGGATCACGATGGGTCCGTTCAACATGGTGCAGCTATTGCACCACTGAAAGGCTGTCAATCAGGAGTTTGCCCAGTACTTTTGACTCTCCATGGAACAAGTGAGTATTATTTACATGTAATTACTTAAGCATTATTACGGTGAACCTTAACAATCTGGAGCCACTCAATAAAACTAAACAATCATCAGATTTACTAATGTAAAGGAAAATGTACAGTTAGAGTTACTAACCCTTGGAAAGTGATAGAAGTGATAACTCTATCCAATCAGATTATAGCATTTCTATGCCCATATTTATCAACTTGCAATTTGATTGGATCGAAATTATAATCTCAAGGCTGCAATATGATTGGTTAATGATTTATGCATTAATTATCTAAGTGGCCCAGTTGTAGTTAAGAAGTCGCAATTTTAATACAGCAATGTTTTTAGTTATATCAGGTTCAACACAACAGTTTTTGYWSTTTAATGTRATGAAATATTTACAATAATTTCTAGCTGTTTCACCTCAAAGTCAAGCAGACAGCTACAAGAGAATGGAAGATGGGCAATGGRTCTTTGGACTGGACAACCTTTGGGTGCTTGCACCAACACGGCATGGGGCTCATAACTGGGAGGGACCAGGAAAGCTCACTGCAATGAAGGCACTTGAATCATTTTCACTATTAACCAAAGAAAGCTCATTTATTGAATACAAAGCCGATGGCCACAAAATGGTCGTTGCAGGCCATTCAATGGGAGGTCATGGCGCCTGGTATGTAAATTGGATAATGAGAGAAGTATCACTAAGCCATGTGGGATAGGTTTGGAAATCATCGTTATGAGCATGCACAATAAATAAAATACTAGCCTTAATACAAGGAGACTAAAGAAGGCAGCACTGTTTCTCTTAACAGCTTCAAGTCGCATAAAAAATAAGCTACCTCAATTGTAAACCATGTATGGAGTTTTCCTTATGTTATACTACAAAATATCAACAGCAAAGTGTATTGCTTATAGTGAGCCGTAGATCCCACGGAAAAGAAAATTTAAGAGTAAACTCTAATCCGTGTGATATAGGAAAGTACGGAATGAGAAGACAGCACTGTGGTCTTTGAGTAGCATAACAAATGTGACATCCAGGCGCGTAGCGTGGACTTTTTGGCTTGTACGCACATGGCAGGGACCGCGACACAATTTCCCCTAAAAATGTTTGAAATAACAACTCTTGGAAATGCGATTTCCAGCGTTCTGAGGGGCATCGAGAGCATAAAATGCATCAATGCCACTAGTACGCAMGTGCGTATATGCGTGAAGGTCGCCACGCGCCTGACATCTTCACTGAATTTTTACTGTGCGACAAATATGATTGCACAACTCAAAAAASAACACTCAATAATTTACATGGTGTTATCTTTGGCCTGAAAGGGCTCAACGGTCCTATAAATGTCTATGAGACTATTTGGAAGACTATCYCAAAAGCGACCTGTGGCTTTTGGAAGAAACCTTTACAAGTCATGCWMCTCAACATATTMAAACTCATGAATGCAATATTCATATGATTTCCAAGCATGATGTCCTACATGTTTCAACGCCTCTTCTCAAATCATTAAATGATCTATTATTTTTGAAATAATAATGATTATAAAGGTAATAATAATGATTTAAT